GGTGCACTGGTAAATCACCCACCATGAAATGGGCAAACAGGTTAAAAGAGCCTTCCAAAAAAAGTCACTGAAGCTGAACGCAGCCTCTCACAACAATGCCAGCTGGAGCACTGATACAGATGGGTTCCTAGAACATGCCCCTAGTGGGGGAAGCCTGTACTACAAGGGACCCACCTTCTAGAAGATAATTCCAGTACTTTTTTGATCTCAGCTCAAAAATAATGCATCACTGTAGGCTCTCTCATAATAGGTACTTAGTATATGTCAGGAATATATGTGTGTTTAAAACAAACACATATGTGTCTAATAAAATATCTAATCATCCAAATACATCAGGAAAGTTATATAATGTTGTCATGTCCTATGATTTGAACTCCTTTGAATAATCCTTTATAGATCATACAACCAGTTCAGGTGTCAATATTTCCCAATTCTACATGTTATAAAAAGGGAGATTCCTTGATTGAAGAAGGTTGGAAACTATAGTAGCTTGGTGCAAACATGGCCTTTAGCGTCAGATCTGATTCTATTCCCAACTTACCTGTGCAGAACCAGAACACATATGGAACCTCTCTAAAGCTTAGTTTTCAGTTACAAGATAAGTAATATTTAAAACAATTTACAAGCATTAAGGATTAAATAAGATAATGTATGGTTGGCCCTCACACATAACTATTGAGGTACACAGCTCACTTTACCTTATTTTAAAGGTGAAACCTTTCCATGAAAGCTCATGCACACGCAATTCCAGATTGTACACTGAACGGAGCATTAACGGTGGAAGGAAAGAGTCAGCATGTGTCCTCTTAATTCAGTTCCTAGAGAAGCCATGCGAGACTCCCACAGGGAGCATGGTCCTGTCATTAAAGACAGAGACACACTCATCACAGGCCCAGTCACAGGTGAAATCTAGGGCTAGTGAAAGTGGCATCGTCATAGGAAGACGTGAACAGTTTCATTTTGCTGTATTCGCTCTCCAGAGAGGTGAAGCCTCACAATGAGTTTTCTACTCTTTAATAAAGACTAATACTTTCTGTACATAAAGATCCTAGTTTAGACAAGAGGCAGACAGCTGTGAGAGACAAGTGAAGACACATTTCAGTTTTATTATCTTTTAGGCATAGATGGGTATGTTAATCCATTTCCACATACAATTCCTGTAATCAAAGATTGGAAGTGAAAACTTGGACTGGCGAAACCTGCCTCTCCTTGCCGAAGAATTAAATCGAAGAGAAGCCGCCTCGGAAGCCGAGGACGGTGTGCGGCCTGCCTCCCCCTGCTCGCTGCGCTGGGCTCCGCCACAGCGGTGGCACAGAGCCGGCTTCCATTGCGTTGAGGCACTGATTCCGTCCTCGTCACGCTGTCCCGCTTTGCCCAGCAAACTTTCTGCTTTCTGTCCATCTGAGTTTTGAATGTTCTGCTCTCTAGGTCACGACAGCTGCTTTTGGACTTACTTTACCATAGCAAGTGAAAGCCAATAAATAATTATGGTACATCCCCTCGTTCCACTGTCACATTGCTCCTTGTGCAAACACAGTGTAGGAGAGAGACGGGCCCTTGGATCTCTCACACCCAAAGAAAAGTATTTATATGGAAGTGGTTTCATTTTAGTGTTCATGGTTTATCATGGAAGCAGGTATTTAAAAATTTTAGAATTTCTTTAACAAAATTCTAAAAGGAAAAGAAGAAAGAGAAATCACAGTATTTACAGAGATAATAGGATGGCTTGGCCATGCAAAACAAATAACTTTGGTTTGTCCCCTTTCACTTTGGTTTAAATATAGACCAAAATTCAATTTTCTCCCTACCAAATAAAACTTCAGTAAATCAAAGTTTAGAGGCAAAAAAACATATTTTCTTTTTTCCCCCATAATATTTTACACAGCTTCGAGTCTAATAGGATATTACATGTATTTAATCCCTACCAATCCACTACAGGAAGCTTTCATTAAACTGAGTCACTACGGCCCAGGCAGTGAATGGTTTACAAATGTACAATAATGTGTGTTTCTAAATAATGCAGAAGTGGTAAAATATTATTCCTAATCTCCCTCTCACTTTAATCTTCAATTTATTTTTCATTGCTTTCATAATTTTTACTCCAGCAGTCTAAAAAACAAACACTAGTTTTCCTCTTCCTCCCAAAGAACACAGTTTTATACCTGGAAATCTGATGTTCATTTTCTTTTGCTATAAAGTTATGCAAATCCTGGGATAAAAATGGCTGTGCAGTATTCTCCCAGAATCCAGGCTTCTGCTTGAAAGAACAAAGTTTAAAAGTCTATTCACAAGTAGCTATTGGCCCATATCCAGTCTACTTCAAAAAGTTTCCATTTATACTACCACTCTAAAAAGTTCCTCAAGCATAAAACACGTTTATAAAGTTACAAATTTGAATGTAACTAAAGATACATAGACATTTTATTATTACACTTTTATGTACTGCTTGATAAATTATGTATCAGTTAAAAACACTAAATTATCTCAAGTGCATTCAATATCTGTAGCGTAGTTAACAAAAACACACACGAAAAAATATATATATATTCTATATTCTGTGGAAAATAACACAGCTTTGATAATGACCACTGTTAAAAATCTCCAATTCTGACTGATATCTTTTTAAAAAGGAAATAGGTATAATTTTAAGGCAGTGGATAACCCAAAGGATTTAACAACAATTTTTAAATACAGTGATTTACATTGTGATCTATGAAAATGGAAATGTAATCCGTGATTTTTTCCAAACTATCTCTCATACATTCGTCTTTTTTTTTTTGACAGAAAATAATTTACTAGCAGGAGTCTCTAAAGGTAAGTGTTACCCAAATTCTGTTACATTGTCTTCAGTATAGGCAGAAATGTAGTTTGGGAGCACAGTCAGCATGTATATATGTCTATTCGCATGTGTGATTTGCTTCTGAGAGTCCGTGGGCAGTGCGTTCACAGAATCAGCTCAACTGGTGTTTATCAATCTGACTCTCTGCCTCCCCCTTTCATGATAAAAGTCACAGTTTTGGAATAGGGCAATGTTTGTGTCCCCAGTTTTCACAAGCTGCCACCTTTGGGATTTGGGTACTCGTGAAAAAGTTTGGGGGCATTACTGATAGCAATCAGAATCAGAAATGTACCTGCTCAGATTATCCATATAAACAATTGAAATAAAAACATTACATTATATATCAGATTAACAGCAACTCCCAGAACGAAGCTTACAGTGTATAAAAATAGCTACGTAAAAAATTTACAGAAAAGGCAAACCCAAAGAAAATCCTCAGTGCAGACATTTACAGAAAAAAAAATCAAACCAAATACAACATGGACCTATCATCATGGCTGCCAAAACTTGTTATCGTTTGCAATTTCATTTCATTGTTTGACTTGAGATAATTCTCTGAAATCCTGCGACAGCTTGGTAGAATGAACTGCTTAATATTTGAACCATGAATTGCTGTCAGTGTCTTTGTATATGTCTTAAATACAATCCACATTCATGCTTCATTTGGCCTATATAGTTTTTTCTCTGAAATAATAAAAAAATATAATTTAGTAAGTTACCATAGCAATCACTTTTTACCATCAACAGATGCTTTGTACTTAAAGAAACAGGAGTTACTTTATAGGAGACTTTCATAAAACTCCACTGTCCCTGAACCTATCTGTAATCCCAGGCAGGCAATGGCTTTTTTGCAAAGAATGTTTGGGAATTTTGAGAGTCTTTATTTTTATGAACATTGCTTAATTCGTATAAAGATTATAAAGGTTTTCAGGGAAATATTTCATCCTGTTCTCTTCGGGTTCAAAAATTCTCGTATCCCTTCAAATCTCTCTTTTGTGGGCTTTGTTGTCAAGGTCGATCTTCACTTGAGGATTTACTCTACCCAATTCTGAAGATAACAGAAGGTAAAAATCTACGTTTATGAAAGACTGAAGAATGAACCCCAGAGAATCAGGGAAACAAACATACGAAAAGCCCAAACAGGTAGAACTGCTGCCTCCCTGACTTCTAATGAAAGGCAGAAGAGGGGAAAGAATCCACTTCTTACTTCTTCTCCCAATCGCCTGGTGATCTCGGTTTGGAGATTTTAGAAGTGTCCTACTTAAACTGTTCTGTTTCCCTTTCCTGTGTGCATCCTTCCAATCGCAATTTTGTTCCCATGCCCACATCTTCTCTGCGATTGTCTGGGGGATGCACTGAAACTGTGGCTACAGCTCATTTACAATGAATCAAAGTTTCACTGCGATTGTTGGGGATTTTAATTTCAGATAAGTAAGCCATAGGAACAGTGATTCTCACTCAGGGGCACACAGAATAACTTGTCCAACTGACTTCTCTTAAAAAAAATCACACTCATGTAGTTATTCCATATAAACGCATACAATACCTGTAATATTTACATAAGCATTATACACATGCATATATGGGCATAGACAGACACATATATACATATACACATATGTATATGATACACAATCTGCAAAAATGTGTGTGTATATACACGCAAATTTGTTAGCACTTTCATTAAAATGATTTGGGAGATGGCTGTGTAAATACTCCAACATTCCTAAGTATCTTAAATTGTTGGATTAAGATTTTTATATTTTAAAATTATTCTCATAATTGCTTATAAAAATAAATTTAAAGTATTAGAATTGGCACTCACCTAACCAAAATATCAATTTATAAAATTAAGCTTCTTCGAACTAAGCAAAATTTGTGTAGCCAAGAGAATACAAAATGCTAATTAAATGTTAAAATCTCAAAATTAATTTTAATTATTCAGAGGATAATAATCATTTGTTTGGAGGGGAGGGCAATGGTTGAGATTACATTCCTCTGAGAACACCTTAATTTCCAAAGTTTGCTTTGGAAAAACTCCTCTCTTGTTTTAAAAGCCTTGGTGATGAAGCATCTTCATGTCCAGGCATCCCCTGCATCTCGCAGGACGTCCCACACTTTCTTGGGAAATATTTCTGGAAGCCTCACACAGCCTACTCACCTGGACAACAGCTAAAACAGCTTGTCTCTTAGGCTTCCGTCTTGTGATTGTTTTCTTCTAACTTTTTATTTTCCTCCAGATTACCAAGGTCCTTGTTTACATGTTTAGATGCGGTCCTACAAAGGAATGAAATGAAACATTATTACATTGATGCACGCACATTATTCTTTGAAAAAGTTAGAGTTGACATGAATGCATCTTTGCAAAGCAGGTGTTTTACATCTAATACAGGCAAATCGTTAGCGTGAACCATTCCACATCTGTCAGCCTTGATTGGTAACAGACCCCATTCAGGGTACACCAGGAGAAAAAGAAACCCATTATTTTGAAAAGACTATACATACTTAGTTGCATCATGTTTTTGGCTGGGTTGTTTTTCTCCTTTTTCTGGAAAGTAATTATTATCACTTGATAGTAAAAATTTTATTCTGGGCAAACAGTTTCTGGCAAAATTTTTCCGAGGGAGTTTCCTGAGGCCTTGTTCCTTTTTAGCATTCTCTACTATGCGTCTGTGTTGAGTCAATCCCCTGTATCTTTGTTATGGATTCTGTTTATTGGAGAAATCAAAAGCAAGATTAAAGACACCCAGACCAGGCCAGGTGGCTCAGTTGGTCAGAGTGTAGTCTCCTACACCAAAAGGTTGCAGGTTCAATTCCTGGTCAGGCTGTATACAAAAAACGACCAATCGATGTTTCTCTCACGCTGATGCTTCTCTCTTTGTTTCTGTCTCACTTTCTTCCTCTCGCTCTAAAATCAATGAACAAATCCTCAAGTGAGAAAAAAAAAACAGAGTAAGAGCCAAGTTTATGACAGAAGGTTGGCGGCAGCCGAAGCCAAAGTGGCTCTGGTGGGGTGGTTCTCAGACAGAGGTCACGGATCAGCAGTACCAACACCCCTGGGAACTCGACAGGAGATTCAAAGGCCGGGCAGCAGAACTGCGGAAACAGGACCTCCGGGGGTGGGGCGTGCTTCCAGGATGAACAAGGCCTAGTGGTCCTGCTGCGTGCTGAGGTGTGAGAACCACCGCCCTGGGGGGGGGGGCGCTGTGGTTTCATGGGAATGACGAGGTTCCATCCTTGAAGAGCTGAAACCAGGCACACAGCTGAATTCTTTCTTGGTTTTGTGACCACTCAGGAGAAATCAAATACTGTATATCCAAGATATCTCTCTCCTCCCCTCCCTCCGCCTTTTCCTCACGTCCTCCCTTCCTCCTTTCCCTAACTTACTCACTCCCTACTGTGGGCATGTCAGGGAGTCACAGTGAGGCGGTACTTTGAATTATCACTGCCATAGAATTCCTAGTCATTCTTCTACTTTTAAGAAACTACATAATCCTAGAAGCTAGAGTAGAAAACTCCAACTTCTCTAAAAGCAGTTTTAGTCTCTAAATAATTTCTTATCTCATTTGCCAAGAATCATAATCTTACCAGAAAGAGGGTTATAATGGTGTATGACAGGTGTCCCAGTGAGATAGAGACATACAGCTCATTCATGATCACACTGGGACAGTCATCATGTTTGGTATATATTTAACTTGTGATGAAAAAATTCTAAGTTTAACTTAAACTACAGGCATCCAAAGCGATGAACAAGGCAGGAGAGAAACCTCCAACTCTGTCATCATGATTAAGTCCTATCATATGTGATGGAATGTCACAAGGAAGGTATTTAACAACGTAAATGAAAACACACTGTAAGTCTGAGTTTGTATCTTGAGTTATATATATTCACGTAAGTACCTTCTATCTTATACTCAAATGGTACATCACAGTAAATGGCAACCTCTTTATCATGTATATTTTCCAGGCGAATAAAGAATAAGATATAGCTCTGGCTGGTGTGGCTCAGTGGATTGAGTGCCAGCCTGTGAACCAAAGGGTCACCGATTTGATTCCCAGTCAGGGCACATGCCTGGGTTGCAGGCCACATTCCCAGCCAGGGGCAACTGCACATTGATGTTTCTCTTTCCCTTCCCCTCTCTTTAAAAATAAATAAAATATTAAAAAAAATAATATACATATATGTATAATATCTTATATATACACTCACCATCTACTGCCCCCCCACACGGAAGTCTGTCTGGCAAAAGTCCAGCCATGGCTAATATAACAAGAACATTTTGCACAACACTGATGTAACCTGGCAGCCAAGGAGAGTGGACTGGAATGCACATGCATCAACAGTGAAGACTTCACTGTTCTAGCCAGTGCGGGCAGTAGATGCTTCTGAGGGAGCATGTGTACTGTGTGGCCATCACATTCAAAATGACTGAGTAGAGCAACAAATCTGCATCACATTTTGTGGTAAAATTGAACATTCCTCTGCAGAAACTATGTGGATGACTCGGAAGGCTGCAGCTATGTACGGCTGGTGATTGGCTGCTTCATCACAACAATGCACCCGCTCAGGCATTGTGTCTCGTGCAGACATTTGTGGATAAATCAAATCACCCTAGTGAGTCACATTCCCCTACAGCACAGATTTGGTGCCCTGTGACTTCTGGCTTCTTCCAAAACTAAAATCACTTTTGAAAGGGAAGAGATTTCAGACCATTGTTAAGATTCATGAAAATACTATGGGACAACTGATGGCAAACTATGTGAGGTCCCAAGGTGCCTACTTTGGAGGGGACTGAAGCACCGCTGTCCCATGTACAATGTTTCTTGTATCTTTTTCAATCAGTGTATCTACTTTTCCTAGTGCATGGCTGGATACCTTTGGGATGGACTTCCTGTGTATCACCATGATATGAGGTCTGTTCTCTTGTGCTAATAAGTTACATTATTAACAGCTAATAAAATATTAGTAATCTCATCAGTCAAATGTGAGGTGTGATAAATTAGCATGCTTGCTCAGAAAAATTTTAAAGCCTGGACTTCCTTTAAACCTATAAATCCTTTTAAATTTTGTTTTGTTAAAGAGTAATACCCACACAAGATAAGGTGCCAAGAATAAAAGTACAGTTCAATAAATTTTCAAAAGCTGGATGCACACACGCACCCTGTGCCCAAGTCAAGCAACAGAATAGTTGCAGACCCTGAAGTGCCACCTTATGTTCCCTGCCAGTCACTGTCACCTCCCAAAGGTCACCACAATCCCAACTTCCCAGAGAAGAGTTTTACCTGTTCTTGTCATTTGAATCTAAGTGGAATCACAACACAGGTATTCACTTTTGTCTGTGTTTTATTTAAACGCAGCCTCTGTTTGTGATGTTCACATATAATGCTGCATGCAGTCGTAGGTGTTCTGTTCTCATTGTTGTATAGCTCGTCATGAGGCAAAAAAATCCTAATTTATTTCTATATTTGACTGGTGATGGACAATCCTGCTCTTTGTTCTTCCCAGGATTGCACACACACTGAGTTAGATCTTTGGTGTGTCCCGTGTCTTTATGCTCCCATGTGTCACGTCTCTTCTTCCCCCTCCCTGTGCTTCAGTCCAGGTGGTTCCCATTGACTGTATGCCAGCTTCCTTCTCTTGTGTTCTGCTGTGGCCAGTCTGTTTCTAAGTTTATCCACCCAAATCTTATTTTTCAATATTATAGTTCTGGTTATAAAATGTCAATTTGACTGTAAAATATTTTATAATGTATTGAATTCTCTATTTTACTCATCTCCAATGATCATCTTTTCTCCCACTTTTAAGATATTAAGAGTTATTTTAATACCCTTGTCTGTTAACTATAGCATGCTTGTCTACTTTTTCCTTGATTATTGATTGTATTGACTGTTTTGCAAATTATTCCTTTTTTTTTCCTGTCTTACTTTCTCCATCCCCTAAATACAAAGATCCACCTCTTTTCCTTGGATATTTTCCACCTAAATCTCCAGCCGTCTGTCTCATACATTCTCTGATATGGGCAAACTCTTTCTTCTCAACATGAGTATAATAAATTCCTTGAAAATGAGGACAGATTTTCTTTTTATTTTACCCACAGCACATAATACACTGAATGAATATGGAGGCAGCCAACATATGTATCTTTTGATGAACTGAACTGATCTCACTGCAAAAGTATTTTTTCTTCCCTATGATGTTCTTTTATAAAAATATTTTTTATTTTATTGATTTTAGAGAGAAGAGAAGGGAAAAAGAGGGGGAGAGAATCTTGGATGTGGGAAACATTGCCTCCTGCTTATGTACCAAGCAAGGGCCAAACCCACAACCCAGGCATGTGCCCTGATCCAGAATTGAACCCATGACCGTCTGCTTTGCAGGATGACACCCAGCCAACTGAGCCACCCTGGCCAGGATCACTACGATGCTCTTAATAAAAATTTCTTTTATCTTGCTTACTATATTGTTGGAGTGTTGTATACAATACCTATAACATAGAAAATATGTGTTAATTGGTTGTTTAGATTCATATCTATGCCTTATACTGTTCCTTATGATAAAAGAATTCACCAATACAAAGTTCATACATACCCACCTGCAGACAAGTAAAATAGAGAGGATACTGCAGGGAGTGGCAGAACTTGAGTGATGTCTCACTCCAATCATTTCAAATAAAACTGCAGAAAATTATATGCATAAACATGCACCTTGATTATTCTAATAGCTCCTAAATATATATTCTAACATATACTTATAACTATAATTTTCGTAAATCAGTAAGATATTGTGGCAATGAAGGAAAGAATCATGATTCTCAAAGCCTCTTCTTTCCTCTCCTTTCTTTTATTCTGCTTGTATTCTCTCAGCCCTCTGATTTTCCCTTCACCCTTTTTCTCTTTACTTCTCCTTTGTCTGTATGTCTCTTTTTTCCTTTCAAATTCACTTCATTAACTACTATTCTTTGCCTTTCATATGAAAATTCCAACTTATATGAAGGCACCAGAGAGAGTGATAGATAAATGAGTCACTGTTCTGTAGGCATATCCTAATAAATAAAAGAAAAATGTTCTGATGTAAGAAATAAATTTTGCAATTTTGATTTTTCTCAACTTGCTTTGACCTGCTTGGGAAAGAGGAAGGTATACTAAGGTTGAAGACACAATAATTTTACAACTTTGACATAAAGCATGCACTGTAAGAGATTCTGGTTCTAAGACACACATATCAACAGAACAGAATATAAAGCCCAGAAATAAACCCATGTCTCTATGGTCAATTA